AGAGCAATGATAGACTGAAGTGTTCTGGAGATCTCACCACATGCTTTAGCAGTTAGTGGAAAAGTTGTTTCCTAGTGCAATTTTTATAGAATAACTTTTTTCAAGAAAAAGTTAACAGCACATATAATTAGTGTAGTTTTTATTAACACATGCATCTTACACACTAAAAATTCCTAACAAGCAGAAAGATGCAATGTCTGACAATCAGTCATGTTAAAAATCAGTATGTTGTTTTAGGGCACATTTCTGCAAGCTTATTCATATGAATAGTCCTCTAGACTCCAGCAAGAACATTCAATTAAATAAAAAACTTTCCAGCATCAGGCCCTTAGTAAGGAAAAAAAAGTGAGCTCTTATGCTCCAATCCCGCAAACACACATCGATAGGTAAACTTGGAGTTCAGTGCGACTTAGTTCCTGCCCTGAATTAAGAAAGCTGATTAAGTATGGTACAGTTTAGAATACACTCCATACCCAACTACTCCTAGTGTTTTCCCTGGAAAAACATTTTTTTTTAAATGTATTTTTGGATGAGTTAATATCCTAGGTGTCTGCAGTTTTTTAAATGCAATTTGCACTATGCTAAGGGGGGGGGGGGAGGAGGGGGAGAAACCACACACCACACAGGAGCTATTAATCAGCACCAGACCATGACACATTTTAAAAGTGACTTCTCTTGAATTTCAACCAAAGTATTCTGTTATTTTGTATTTTTAAATAATTACCACCTTTGGAGTAAGGGCAACTGTACAGGCAAGACAATCAAACTCAAACAATTCATATCTTTGCAGCCATTTTTCCACAATCTAAATATTTTACAGACGCAATATCTTTATGATGTTTATGCCTGAACGCTTTACTTTCTGTAGTGTGCTTTCATTCTTTACAAGATCTGTGCCTAACTTTTTTTTTTTTAAACTTGGTTTGTCTCTGAAGTCTTCAGCCAAAAGCAAAGGAAATAAAATACAATTCACCATCTTCCCTAACAAAAAGTAATCTAGTCATCTTTATAGCTGTTCATGATACTTTTAAAGTCCACAGTAAATTCACAAGCTAAAATATCATTAAGCCTATAGGCAAAAAGGAAGAAATTTTAATGTTTTGTATTTCACTCTCCCACAAATATCCTACATAAAAAAAAAGCCCACCCTAATATTTATTTTGTGAATCCTTCTCCTATGATCTGTTTGCTTGGCTAGAGAATTTTGCCTGGCAAAAGTAATAAACGTTCTAATTCAATTTCCATGTTGAGATGGATTTAAAAACAGAAACCATCTTCTTTGTGTTTACTAAGAGATATACACTCCAACATTTAGTGTCATGGAGCTGAGTTAAAACCAGAAACGGTGAAGATAATTTAGCTACGTGAATGCCTGCTCTTCAGTGAAATGCTGCCAAAATTAAATAGGAATGAAACAGCACTTTGTAGTCATTGGTCGCTCAGCAGGGTTTGCGTAGTTAAAAACCTAAGTGAAAAGGGTGATTGACCTACATTGCTACTAGCTTAGCACAGCTGTAGTTTCATATTTTCACTGCTTCGGAGGAAGCTCATTATTTAATGCAACTGAGTTACATTTAATTGTCAGCCTTTCATTTTACACTTTGGGCCAGATATTAGTCTCAGATGTGCGGCACACATTACCGTGCATCTAGAAATACCCACTGCGGCACATGTGGGCACAAGCAGAGTAGCAATCCTTAAGATAGGGCCACTCACGCTTTGCGTCTAAAATAAGGATGCTGCCCTGTGGTGCTAATGAACATGCAAAAAAGTCAAGTGAGCAGACAGAGTACGCAAAAACCTTGCCACCCGAGAAGGGTAACAATGAGCAGTTTTCCATTTTAAAAGTTCTTTTTGTAAAAGTTCCCTGTGAGACATAACTAAAGCATATTTCATACAACTCATACCTGTGGTTTAAGTAAGTAATAACCTTCCAGTTAACAACCAGTCTGATATGTTAACAGCCCAAGGGCTGTTAACATAACAACTGGTCATTAACTGCCATAATGACAGATTTCAAAGAGAATATCACTCTTGATTCACTCTGTAAATGGACATGCTGCCAGTCAGAATGGAGTACAGATTGGGATAGGTCGATACATTAAGATGTCATTTCACATTTCTGGAGAAAAACTGTTTGTATTAATAGTACGTTCCATTTACTATAATTGGACGCAAAATATGAGAGTGAACCTAAATTCCTTAAATTAAGTCTTCACTTCTTAACCTAAGAGTGTGTGAGCAGGAGACAGAAGCCTGCAGGGAAACTATACTCTGCTTCTCATTTTCATGGAAAGTTATTTCTAATACTGAGACCTTTCTTGATACAAATGAATTTCCTTCCTAGTTAACAGAATAGGGCTCATTCCTGCAGCACCCACCCCAACTGCCCCTCTAATTGATGTGAATTGTCCCTCTGAAGTCACTGGGACAACTCACGTGTAAGGATGAGGCCACCAATGGATCCTCTGGGGCATAGCTTGTTACATCTTACTACAGAGACGTCCCCTGCTTAGAAAGCAGAAGTAAAATTAGTTTAACATCATTAACTAGGAGAGTTAGTTTGAATAGAGTTCAGGAGTTCCAGAAATCCAAGGAGGTTATATAGTGCTAATCACAAGGATATCGAGGTGCTGATATTGAGAAACTACTACTTTTCAGAATGAATTTCTAAGTACACACACAAGATTTGAAGAAGGGTGAAAGACAGGAAGCCTCCCTGCAAACAACCTCCTTCCCCCAGTTTGATAATTGGACCATGTAAAGCCAACAGAGTGGCTCCATTATTGCTTATATAATTTCTGGAATGGCTGTCTTATTGAAAAACAATGAACAGAAAGAAATTGTTAAACTATTTTACTCTTTTAGTATCATTGAAGTCACATATCCTCTAGAGAGGAGCACATAAATTAATAGGAAACTACTACAATTTTATATGTGACTGACTAAAACTCAGTTTACAGTTAAAATAAAAAAATTGTAAGGATAGTTTGAAGCTGTAATCTAACCCTAATCTGTTCATTAGTACAAAGTAATTTATTCTTCATATTCATATCAAATAAGTTTTCATATTTTTGTAAACTATTTGCCTACAAAGCTAGAGAAGAACTAGCTTCTTCATTAGCATTATAATGAAGATTACTTGTACAGGTTGACTGCATAAGTAAGTAATAAGGCAATGAGGAATAGGACTATCTGCAATTACCTTAAGTGCATCAGTTTGAAGTTTAGTGTAAATACAAAGTTTGAGTCTATGCACTTGCAAATATCACTACAGAATAAGCACCATGACTAGATTTTGATGACTCCACAGCCAGATGAGAAATATTTAAACCTGATTTATCTCCCGTTAGTTGTAGTTACACTAATCAGAAAAGCAAGTACTGTGTATAGATGATAAACTGACTTACACGCAGGTTTCAAGTGTGGTTATATACAGACAAATGACTATGTAGAAACGGGGCCCCTTCCTACCGGCGTATTAGGTCAAACTGTCTTCAAGCTCAATCTACTGGAAAACCAAGTTTTCACTTGAGCTAACCGTGCAGAGCCCAAGCAGCCACTGAACAAGAAGCTGGGTTCTAGTCTGCACTACACAACAGATGGGTCTTGATCATTTTTTGCGGTTGATTCGAGAGGCACAGGGAACACATCTTTATTTCACGATCCCAAATTTGCTTAACTCGCTGATAGCAAATACAAAGACACCAATATACCTGTAACTTCGTCATGGCTTTTTCATGAGACTTTTTTCACTACTGCATAATCATTTGAAATAGAGGTGGGGGGGGGGGGGAGATCTAATTTTCAAACTAATTTTTAAGAAGAGAAGCTAGATTGTCGCCAGGAAAGAGGGTGTTTTTTTTCTGCATTTTGAGACCACGGCCATGAGCATATGACTGACAGTTGTACATTAATTCCTTTAGATATTGTTTCCAGACGTTTCAAGCAACTGTACCAATTTGTTGGGAAAAAAAAAAAAAAAAACAGACCTCACTAGGTACGTCACTGGTACCCTCACCACAAGAATCTCAGGGTCCAAACTCTATGGTGAGCTCCGCCACACCTGTACTACACTACCTTGCATTCAGTTCAGTGTTCTTGAACCTGTAATGGTGGGCTTCACAAGGAAAACCACACCACATTACGCAAGACTACGTTTGAAGTGCCTCAACTTGTATCACAGATCAGAGAGTGCATAACTGAATAGGAGGTACCAAGCAGAAGAGCTCACACCTGTGTTCTCCTCCCACAATCTGATCATCATTAAGGCAGGGAGATGTAATGAGGCCAGCCAGTTGAGTACCAGTCATCACCATTACAGTATTTTACATTAATTTGTGTTGCTACATTTTTCTGGGGTATGTGGCCATTTTAGACCTACCACCTAATCTATTTTAGGTCTTTTCTGCACAGTGGGGTAATGTGTTTTACCAGGGTGAGAGTTCTAACACACACTAACATATTGTACATTAATGGGTCCGTGTAGACTTTGCTGGGGTGCAATTAAGGGTCCCTCGTGCATGTCAACGTAGCACTGTTTTAAACAGCACTACATTAAAACACACCAGCACGGTCTAAGTGGACCAATTAATCTGCAACATATTAGTGTGCTTTAGAAACGTAGAACTCTGCACTTTTCTTATAAGAGGTAGAAAGGATTCCCCCAAGTTAGGGCAGAAGCACCGCAGAGTGAGAAAGCTACAATGCTTGCACTCTCCTCTCAATAGAAGGCTTCAGACTCCAGTGTTGTCAGGCTGACAGCTATACATTTTACACTGAACACTATACTTTAAGAAGGTACACAGTGGGTTACTTCAAGTCGAAGTATTTTCTCTATCATGGCATTTGTTTTATCTGTGCAGTACTTAAAATATAGTACTGGGCAAAGATTTGATAGCAGTCAGGTGTTTATTGTTCCAAGGTCTCTCACTGTGTAAGAAAGATTGAACAGGACTACAATGCTTACATACTAGACAACCATAACAACTCCCTCCTACCTCAAGTAGTCTCTGCGACAAAGGATAAGGTTGGCTTTGGTGTACAAGGTGGAGCCCACCTCCCCCAATCGACAGTCACAGCAAGCACACTTCAGGCAGTCCTCATGCCAATATTTGTCCAGGGCTTTTAGAAGATATCTGTCCTTGATCTTACGGTTGCAGCCAGCACAACCTTTCGGCTTGGTGTCTGGCTGGACTGAGAGCATTTGTATACCTGAAATAAAACAAATGAGACAGAAGAATGAGATCAACAGTCTCCCCTTCACAGATGTGAATTTTTCTTCCTAATGCATAAAGAGACAGCTCTTTAGACAAAGTGCAAGATCTAAATAGTTAATATCACATTGACAATAGCATTAAGATTCATTTAATCTAACTGGTTAGTGCTGATCTCTGCTAGGTTCCTTACCTTCTCCCCAACATCCCTGCCTTCTCAGTCACTTGGCAAAAATTGCTATATAATGGGTTAAAAACAAACAAAAAAAACCCACAACCCAATTTCATATAAAATGTCAAATTTTTTAATAGCCAGAAATTTGAACAAATCTGAGGAAGACTTGAATCAGAAGCCAAAAAAATATTCTGAATTTGATAATATTTAGTACTAGGCATATCCAAAGGATTCACAAATATTATGCACAAAAGTGTTCCCAATTTTATAGGTGGGAAAATTGAAGCAATTAGGAGGTACAAGTTGAGTTTTTTCCAGAGTGCTCAACATTTGGGGCTAGATCTCTGGGTGCTCAGTTCCCATTTAGGCACCTAAAGAAAGTGACCAGATAGTGAAAAGTAGGAGGTGCTGAGAATCTCTCTCTGTGAGCACTTTTCATCCAGACTAAATAGCGTCAAAGCTTTACTGGCCCTAAAATGACCTGCACAAGGTCAGTGATTCACTGGCAAGCAGACCAACAGAATCCACTTCTCCTGATTCCCCAGCTCTGGCCAGTACACAGTGCTATAGAACAAGACCATTTTATGAACTAACTCCTGCTATAACAAACATTCCTGAAGAGATGTAAATGGAAATATTATAGTTTTAGATAAAACAGTAAATGCCACTTATAAATGAGATGTTGAGTGGCTGACATCTACTTGTAAGGAGGGGGAATAGATAGCTACAAGAACTGGAAATGATGATACTATGGGCTTGTCTACACTTATCGGGGGATCAATGTGCGGCGATCGATGCATCGGCAGTTGATTTAGCAGGTCTAGTGAAGGCCTGCTAAAAATCGACTGCAGATCGCTGTCCCGTTGACTCCTGTACTGCACCTGAATGAGACGTGCAAGGGGAGTCGACGGGAGAGCATCTCCTGTTGACATAGCATAGTGTGGACCCTGCAGTAAGTAGAGTTCAGTACATCAATATGTTATTCATGTAGCTGAAGTTGCATAACTTAGATCAATCTCCGCCCATAGTGTAGACAAGGCCTTAGTTGCTGTATCACCAAAGACACAATCAGGAGTAGGGCCCGATTGCACTAGTTTTAACAGTGCACAGGGTAAAAAACACATCTGCCCCCAAAGATCTTGAAAATGAATGTCTCTAGGTTACTAGTTTGAATCCCCACCCCAGATCGGCATAGTTATCAGACTTGTCCTTTAAAATCCAAGCATGTCTCTCCCCTGCCCCCAGCATCTCAAAGTCCTCCCATTTTAAACGTCTAACAGGGCTACATTATTGCTCCTTGCATTACAGCAGACAGGCAGCAGAGAAAGAGCAAGAGAGAGCATGCACCACACACACTGACTCATTACTATATTTTTTCCAGGGTTTCAAGCCAAGCCTGTACGTTTATCTATTTTTAATAAGAGTGCACCCAATTATAAATATTACAATCAGTTTCTCACAGCCAAATGTGAAAGATCTGAGCAATACAATAATGAACCCCAACCCAGAAACAAGTGTTACTACCCACACTCATTGCTCTCCCTCCTCAGGCAGAGGTTGGGAAAATAATAGAGCTCTGCTCCATGCCTTGAAGGTCAGATGTGGGCTCTGTGAGAGCAATGAAGGAAAGCAGCATCCAGAGTTATGGACTCTTCACCAAGGATGCCCTACCACCTACTGTTATAAAAGCTGGGGACTGCAAGATTTAGTTTATCAGATGATCTCAACTGTTGTGGTAACATACCAGGAGGCAGAAGCAGTCTGAGGTAGCTATAATCTCTTACCTAGCTCAGGTTAAGTGAACACAAGCCAACAGGAAGCCAGTGTAGACTTTGAAACACTGTTATATTATACCTTTATGGCTGTCACCATTAAGACAAGCTGCTGCATTCTGCGCCAGCTGTAGTTTCCAAGTGTAGTTGCAAGGAGAACACACGGTTACTGCAGTCTGCATAGATTCTAGATCCCATTAAGAGGCTTTTTTTGGGGGGCCAGAGGGAGTAACTTAAGTTTTACCTCAGCAGCTTTGTGGTCACTGAAGTTAGAATAGTAATCCCGACTCGCACTGTGGCATTCCCCTAGTATAGTCCCATTCCCCCACCATCTATTAGTCATTTGTTAGATTAACATTTCATTACATGGAAAATACTTAGTATGTAACCCAAAATACAACAGTGCTAATTTGAGATGTCAACAGCTCAAATACTGAACAATTTTATTTTTCTCTCTCTATGTGTACTGCGCCCCCCCAGCACTGTAGCATCTCTCAATTAATTGATCCTCACGGCTCCCAGTAGAGATATGGACATAATCCCCATTTTACATATGGGGAACCGAGGCACAGATTAAGTGACTTCCCCAAGGTCACATGGGAAGCCCACAGCAGAGCCAGAAAAAAAAAATTCAGATCACCCATGTCATAGGCCAGTGCCTTAAGCACTTTCTATAGCACCTTACACCATGCTCCTCCACCCACAAGCAGCATGCATAGAGCACCACTTAAATATAGCCATGAATGGGGGGATAAGGGCAGCAGTCAAATAGCACACAGCAGAACACCTTTGAAGAACTTTTGTCAAGAACACTAGAGAAAAAAACTTTATGGAAAAATCCCACTGGATATTTAATACCCACTCAGAGTAAAGAGAAACCTCAGCATTTAACGTTTCCTCTGAAATAAGCATTTGTTAAATATCAGTGCCATTCATGGCTTTGCACAAGGCAGTCTCCAAACCACATACACAATATAAACCAATAAAAAAATGACTGATGAATAGCAAGCCTAAATTACTTGGAATTTGGTTTAAAAAGTTCAGAAGGATGAAGGACTGTACTAGGACTGGAAACTTTAGCTTGAGGGAATCCATGTTAAACAAGGAGTGAAGATAGCTAAGGACTTTAAAAAAAATATATAGATCTTAAATGTAAAAATTTTCACTAGATAGGTAACCATGGTAGAGAATCCAGGCTGGCAGTCTCTGATCCTAATTGATCAAACCAGCGAGCAAAATGTCCTTTTGCAGTCTGAAGTGAACAAGCTGCAAGAACCGATGCAAGGCTCAAAAATCTGAGTGCATTAAAATAATTAAACCTCATGATTCCCCAAAAAGTTGTCTGAGGTCATCATGTTATAAATAAGGGTTTGGCCTGCAGTGTCTTCCAACTGGAAGAGTACATAGAAAATGTGATGCAAAAGTAAGGACATGGTCAAAGGCCACGTCAAGATTTGTAACTGTATTCACAGCTCCCTTCTCACGTCTCTGCCTCAGTGATTTGGGAGAGCGTCCTCATGCCCCAACCCACCGACCCCACCTGTTTTCTTGGGATGGAGGTAAAGGTGGCTCAGATGCATCCAACTGGCAATATCTATCTTCTCATGAGGGACAACACTTGTAGGGTCCATTGGTGGAAGGAGAGATTTTTCACATCAGCTGCATTAGATTGAAGCCTCATCCTTTTGGTGAAAATTCATCCAATGCAACTGACTTTTAACATCACTTGGAAATAAATGTCAAGCATTTTAGTAATTTTTTTCTAAAACTCCTCCTTAGGGCCTGACCTGTCTGTCACTCTTCCCCCCCTCCAAAAAAAGTGCTTGGTAGACTCTTGGGATACTCCCCCCCCCCTTCTAAATCCTGGACAATTTCTGTCCCCTCATTTCTAGAGCAGAGTTTCCTTTTTTTTTTTCCTGTTGTGTGGGTCACATTAATACAGACACTGTCATGGATAAGCTCTCGCCCATTAAGGATCTCATACGATCCCTATGGCAACTACAGCAATTGCTTACATGGAAAGTGATCAATTAAATTATGTCCAAAAATATATTAGTCTGAAATAAAGAGTGCCAGCATCTTACAGTCAGCCAGCTCGTCATGGACCACTGTCTGGATCCTTCTGTTCTAAGGAACAACTGCAGGACTCCCTGCGGGTACAGTCACCACCCAAACACTCTGTTTGACTGGTTGTTGCTGAGGGGTGTACATTACTTCCGCCAGTTCTAGGGCACAAGCTACCATGATCAGCCTTTCCAAAACACACTCAACTCACTGAGTTGAGCACCTGATCTGTAAAATTAAACCAAGGTTTCCCTACTCGGCAGTGCAGAGTACTACCCATTATCTATCACAGATCAAAATTATTGACCCTAGTTTGCCACTCTCAAATTAACATTTCTTAATAGTCCCGATATACTATCAAGGATTCCGCCCCCCCCAGCAGATAGCAGCTTTGTAGGTTGAAGAAATTTTCCTAGACACCATCTTCTACCCTTTGAACTCCCGGGGAAAGGTAAGAAGATTTCTATCTTCTGATTTACCGATTCTTGGACTTTACCCTAGTCTCCCATAACCAAATCCTTCAAAATGATTCATTCCCATTCTTTTTATTTGGAATGTATTGTGAAATGGCTGTCAATTTGTGGATATGAACTCCACAAAGGAGACGAGTGGAGAGGGGGAAAAACAGGCTTCTGAAAATAGAGTATACAGCAAAGAATAGATAAATAAATCAGATCTCACTCCAACTGTATAACCATTACTCACCCTCAATTTGAGGGAAACAAGTATTTGGTGTAACTGGACAGTAGAGTATTTGCAATGCGGACCTAACATTTGCAATGAAGATCAGTGCCCGCATTGTGGAAGGTGCAGGACAGAACATACTGTTCTTCCCTACAGAATTGATATTTAGTCTTAAACTAAAGTATCAGTCAGAGGCTAAGCATGTGACTTTCCCATGCTTATTCTTCACTGGCTCATTTGAACACTTAGGGCTAAATTTTGCCCTTGGTTAGTCACAGCTCCTACCAATATCAATGGGCTATACCTCACAAAGGGCCAAGTTATGCCTGTGTTTTAAAAAGACTAGTTTAGATAACTTGTTTAAATAATTTAAGATTAAATAATTTTCAAACAAAATACACAAAACCAACAAAAAAGAGTTAAAGATTCTGGGGAGGAGGAACCCAAAACATTTTTCAGCATAGCTGCCGCCTAGCTTGACGAGGTTTCCGTCATATACAGGGTTTACAGTTTGGTTCAATGACTTAGCACCCCCACTATTCAAACCGTTCCAGCGCCCCTGCTTTTCAGATGCCCCAGATGCTTGTAGTCAGACCCTTACAAAGCAGCCAACAGCTTCTCTCCCAACCATTCAGGACAAAAGAAGATACACCAGTGTTAAAGAAGTTAAGTGTTCATAAACTGAGATACATTTCATAACTTGCTTACAGCACATGAGGAGTCATAACTAGTTTGAGATTGGCATATGAATTGTTCTGTGGAAAATTCTTATTGCCTCCGAGACCCTGCTATTCCGAGTTATTTGACAGGTTAAGGGAAATCATAATTAAAAAGGGAGACAAATAATAGCCTGTGCAGTGTGGCGCGCAGAAATAAGTAGAACCATTTCATTTAAACTCTGGTGAGCTTTTAATTGCCTGGATTGCATTGTGAACCAGCCTAACGGTTGATTGCTTCCATTATGCTCTCTTGTTCCGTGCCATTCATCCGCACAGGCTCAGCTTCTGTAGTTAACACAACAAAGTAACCGCAACTCCATAACACCCAGGGTTTTTTTTTAAATGAAAAAAGTAAGGTTTTTGCGTACTGTGAATGTAGATTCTTGTGTGTACTTTTGAGCTAATTTTGCTATAGTAAACAAAACTTCACCCCCGCTTCTAAAGACATGTATGAATCTTTTTTTTTTTTTTTTTTTTTTTAAAAGGGTGAAAGCTGGGAGGGGGGGCAGTGGGCCGAAGAAGAGGGGAGGTTAGATGGATGCTAAAATAGGAACGCAGTCCCACAGCTGGGAGCACTGACACAGATTAAAGAATTTGGCCAACATGGCCATTCGATTGCCAGGAGACACCAAACAAAAGATTCCCCCCCTCCCCTTTTGAAAGCTAGATTGGGCCTAAAAGGTTGTTTCTCTCTCTTCATTGGCCCAGAGCATCCCAGCAGGCTGTAGCCCCCTAAGGGACAACAATGCAAATACATGTCCCCCTGATCTCAGGGACTGGAACTGCTTCTTAACTGTGTTCCTACCCTTACACCCCTCCCCCCCCCTTTTTTTTTGGAGCAATGATGCTGGGAACCAATTTGATTCCCTTTTTCTCCAATGCAGCTGCAAGGCTCAGAGATACTGACATTTTTCCACTCTTATCAGTTTAATTACAGTTACCATGGCAGCAAAGTGCTAGTGCTTGGCAAAGGCCAACAAGAGATTTGCAAGACTGAGTTCAATTTTGATGCAGCTCACATGCAAAATAATAAAAAAAAAAAATAAGAAACATACATACACTCTACAACAAAGGATCCCTTTTGGAGTTAGACGCTCAAGCCTTTTGTGCTAATTCCTTTTCAAACCACACAGGGATGGGGCAAGGGGTTGCAAGAGAATGTACAATATTTGTTGCACCTAGCAAGATTAATTGGCTTAGGCAGCAGTCCTACAAAACTGTCCAAGGAGGCAATATTTCAGATCTCTTTAGAACACACACACACACACGCTACAGCAACATATTTAGAAAGAGAAATCAGCCTTTTTAACACTCCCAGAGTGTGCACGGTTGTTGCTAAATGCAAACTAAGACACGAGATCGAAACCTTACCAAAACTTTTCTCCTTTTTCTGCATGAGTTGACTTAAGAGTGCCTAGATAGCGCCTTCTCACTGAGCACCAAATCCCAGCCAAAGTAGCAAGTGTTTCCCCAGTTTGGGTCAATCGAGGAGCCCTATGCGCTGCAGCCAGACACACACCAGACAGCCGAAGCTGGGCTATTGTGCACTTTGGAGACGGGGGTGGGGAGGAGGTGGGGGTTAGGGGACTGGTGGAACAAACACAAGCCAAGCCACTTGCAATGTAGCGGTGTGCAAAATGATGGCGAATGACAAAACCACATGCTTCCCTAACTCTGCCCGTAATCCTATAATCCCAGCGGTCTCTTTTAGCTTCGTGGTAACAAATGGATTTGATTAAACTGTCACATGCAGCGTTAGCCTACCATATCATGTTCAATATGAAAAAGATCATAAATAGATCTAGTATTTCATAACACCAATCTGGCTACCCCTCCCGCCCCCCATACATACCCCATGTAAAAAATATACTGCATCAGCCTGATTCCCAGTATATTACCCCCTGTGTATTTGGCATTTCACTATCCCCTCCTCTCTCACCCCATTTGCTTTGCCTTACAAGCAAGCAAAAACACAAACAAACATCCATTTGTGGCAATGGAGGAGTGCTAATTGCTGGACCCCATCTAAGGGGTTCAAAATAACAACAGAGCCAGTTACAAATTAAACTGTTATAAAGGGAGGTGCTGAGATTAAAGCGGGGGGGGGGGAGGAAAGACCATCCACCTGCTCCCCTGGTAATTGAGAATACATTTCGAGACGCTCTGGAAGGAAAAATAATGTGGAAATTGCTGCAGTTTCATTGTTAACTTTGACTGCTGTTTCTCCAGACATTCAGCTGCGCGGGTCTCGCTCAGCATCCTCCGATTGCATGTATTTCATGTCTCATCATTAAAATAATGAAGCCTCACATGATTTAAACAAAACAGTCTCGGCAGAGCTGCAGCTTGAGTGAAAGTTGCAGTGCAGAGACGAGTGAGTATGTGTGTGTTGCAGCCCCAGCTTATGACTCATTAAGAGAGAGAGAGAGATGCGCTCACACATAAATGACCCAAAGCTTGTGTATACAGTTGCCTCACTTACCTTCTCAATTAAGCGATACAGGGGGAGGCAGTTCAATAAGCACAGTGGCTGCTTTGTAGCTTTTCTCCTTGGGAAAGGTCAAAAAGAAGCATTGTTTGGGGGGAAAATATAGGGATGAGAGGGAGAGATTGGGGGGGGGAGGGAAGAGGAGAGAGCTCGCTATTCTTTTAAGTTTAAAATAATGAGGTCCTCAAGGATCCGCCAAGTAATTGTGTTGACCGCATCCGAGCTACAGGTGTCCTCCTTTTAGTATCTTGCAATCCAAGGCTGTCTCTCGCCGTCCTGGCTGAAGACAACTTACCTAAAAGCAGCGTGTGAGGAGCCGCGTTGAATGAAGTCAGGGCTTTATCAGCTGCAAAATGCAATCCCTTACCAGTCAGACATAATACAGCAAAAGAAAAGGTCACTCGGTTATTACGGAGACAGCAGAGCCCAAAGCAGCTCTCGTGGAAGACCACAGAGAAAGCAGCTCCCTTCCGATTTAAGGCTATTTACCTCTCTTCCCCCACCACACACACACACACACCCCCTTCCTCTTTCTCCCCCCTCCCGTTCTGCAGCTCACTCAAGTACAGCCGCCCTCGGAAAGTGCAAAGCAGCCAGGAGACAGATTGGGCTTTGTTGGTAATTTCCCATGGTGAAAATTTACAAGCCTGAGAGTGCAGTCAGCAAAACCACATGCATATGCTAGACACAAACACCAGGGACAACCTCACACACAAAAAGTGACCTCTACAGAAGCCATTCAGCATCAGCCTCCCCAGCCTTCCAGAAACAGACTCAGGGAAAGAGAGGGAGCATGCACCTCCCACCCCCCAAAAAAGTTGCCCAGGCAAAACAGGAGGGGGGGAGGCAAGATATTCATCTCTCTGGCGCTATTAATTAATCCCAGGAAAGACCCCTAAGGTGAACGTGAAAATCGATTCAATACTAACTCTCCCCTGCCAAAATGGGATTTTCAGAACTGCCTGAGAACTCCAGTGTTTCAGTTCCTTCCTCAGCTGGTCCCTAACTTCCAAACACATCCCCCAACTCCCAATCAGACCTGCCAAGGGGGTCGATCTACCACGTACTCACACTGGGCACCGCTTGGCATATGCCACTTTAAATTATTGTTTTAACTGACTGCCCACGTCTCAGGATAATCCCCCAGTGAACTCGTTTCTCTGTATGGGATGCCCAGCCCAAAATCTAATGCGACTCTATGCTGAAAGGGTGGAGGGACAGAATCAAATGTTTAAATCTACTTGACCAGAAGACAGACCAAAAATATAAATATATATAATAGGTAAGGCATACTTGCTAATCAGCTTTGTAACCGTGACTGAACGTTTCTTGGCTTTCTATCATAAAAGATGTTGAGCCTAGTCTACTGTAAATAAAGTAAAAAAAAAAAGAAAAATCCACAGCATCTTCCTTTAAGAGCCATCTGCACTTGGAGAAAGACCAGATTAAGAATTTGTGAAGCCAGTTTTCAGACTTCAAAGTGATTCTCTGTTGTCTGCTATTAGGAGCACCACACTAGATTTCCACAAAGCTTTGAAAGATGTCAGCTTACAACATACCCTAAATTTGAATGACACTCATATTATGGAAGTCTTTCGAGCCCCAAGATTTAAAAGCATTGAAGTACTCTGCCACCATCCCCTCCCCCCCATATAATCCAGCAGTTCTAATAATAATAATAATAATAATAAAAGTCAAATCAACCTAGTAAATGCACACGCTTGGGGGGGGGGAGGGGCGGCACACTTAGATAACTTCAGTACCTGTGAGTATTCCTGATTCTGTTGCCCTCCTCTCTCTAAATGGGATGGGACAAAACTCAGCCACAACCAACCTGAGCAAGCTCCCGAAAAGCACAATCAGAGGCAGCAGATAAATAAAAGCCCCTTCTGTTGATATGATCTGCAAACAGAGAAAAGCAAGACTCGCCAGAAACCTGCCTTTCTCGTGCACGCACCCATAGGCTCAGCGAGCAGACGCACTTCCCTGTGTTTATAGACTACTTCTGCTACCACACCACTCTGAAAATACAGCAGTGTGAGTGTGTCTCTCGCTCGCTCGCAGCCAATGCACTCCGAGAAGAAGAGAGGGAGGGAGAAGTTGTGTGGAGAAAAGGGAGAAATAAAATCAAAACAAATGGTACAGCTAATGAGGACAATTAAATTAATTATGTTCAAGGAGATGAGATTTTTTTCCCCCTCCAACTGTATGATCTGTTACCCCTCGCTGGCAACTGCTGCTCTGTAATTCATGGCAACTGATTAGTGCATCTATGCAAATCTTTGTTTAAATCATTCAACTAATTAAATGATGGGATTATTCCTCTGCCTACGGTGACATCATTCGCAGTAATTAGTACTCTATTTGGACTGTGGCAATAAGATACCCGATGTCAACACCAACCTGCAGAGACATTAACCACGTTGTCACTTTTTGTGTGTGCGCGCAAGGGACAAACACCCAGATCTAATTGCATCTTTCCAGCCCTCTCCCCCCCCCCCAAAGATTTTTTTCTTTAAAAAAAAATAGTGAATAATATGCCAAACCACATGTGTAAAGGAATAAAATGGAATAGTTAACATTCAGCTCCATGCCATTCATTTCCCCCTAAAATATAATGATAATTAGATGGGTCATAAAATGCTCTTCTTTTCATTATGACTGATGAAATGCATTAAAGCTGACAGGGTATTACCTGACAGTAATTAGGTTTTGTCATGAATTAAATTATTTGAAAGCAGGCTATCTCCCCAATCATGCAATTTACAGCAAGATTTTTTTTAATCTGTGCTGCAGAAGAGAGAAAGAGATAGAAAATAGCAGTTTCTCTTCATAATCATATGAATTATTCACAAAAAAAAATCATCAGAAAAAATCGTGCAGATGAAGAGGCTTCCCACTTAATGTACTGCACAGATGTGATCATCAGCGGTTGCCGACAATGAAATATACAAGTGCACACAAAAGTGATCTGGTGAACAAGAGGTGGAATTTAATCATCTTCTCCTGACACTTTCGCGAAAAACACCATTAACCCTCGGCTAACTCCCCTGTTTTTCCCCTGCCCACCCCCAGCTAACACCACACACAAAAAGTGAAAAGAAAAGAAATTGTGGTTTTGTTTACTCAGCCAACCTAAAGGTTGGTTCCAGGCAGCCAAGCAATTTCTTCA